TAACAGTACTGAGCAGGCGCAGGCTGGAAAGGTTGTCTCTAGTTACTCTGTATTTCAGTCTGGGGGTGTCTGTGGTGATGAGTGAAGGTCTCAGAAATGGGGAATATGAGCAGCTGTGCAGGAGAGTGGTGTCAGGCCACAGGTGTTCCCTCTTTTGCTTACCAACTGTCGCTCTCCTTTCCCATCCATCTGCCCATAACAATGCTGTCTAGGATCATGTTTGAATACATAGTTTCTCCACTCACAGCTGTGTAATCATAGCTCATCCACAAAAGAGTTATTTCTCTAATTTCAATTGCAGAGGTTTTGCAGGGAAAATCTTTCTGGTTTGACTGCAGGTGTGGGATGTGTCTGATGTTTTTGTTTGTCGGATGTAGATTTCTGGGCCTGACAATGTTTCAATGCTGACTTTTAAAACGAGGCCATTCTCATACTGATAACTCAGCACAACAAACCAATTATGGTCTGAAGCACTGCTTTCAGATAAGCATCTGAAAACTGAATATAACATGTCGCATCATATACATGTTTCAATTTAAATACCTGTGAGGAATTGTGAAGTGCAAGCAGAAGATAGAAAGAAACAGAGAGACAGAAACGTACGAGGCAGGATAAGTGTGGCTGCACTTTTTTATCTTAGGCCAGACAAGACCAAAACATGCCTGTGTGTTTGGGGGGAAATCGAGGAAGGAATTTTAGGAAATTGGACCTCTTACTAGTAGAAACAGCACAGCCCTGCTGAGACTGGCACACAGGGCACTACCACACAACCAGTTAGGCCAGACATTTCTGGAAAATGTCATACTAATGCATATCATCTGATAAATTCAGTATTTTCTCACTCTTATCTATTTATGCGTCATAGACACAACAGAAAGCTGCAGAATTTTTCATAATTTCTGATGCACTTTGAAATGAAAGGCCAATTAATACCCAACAGAGCAAAGAAACCTCATTAGCCTAAAAGCAACTCTGACTTTTAAAAACAAATTTTCTTCATAATTCTAAAATCCAGCACAGTTATTCCATCTGATGGCCTTATAATTTGTGCTGCTATTGATAACTGTTGGCAAATCTAGATCCATTTTGTTGATGCCAATTTACAGATCGTATTTATACGAGAGGCATGAACATAGCGCCTGTTTGAGTATATCCAATATGTGGATGATGGTCATAATTAGGAAATATCAGATCGTAAAATGGTGCGATTGACAAATCAGAATCAAGTATTCCAGAAGGTCATGCCATAGAGTGCAACAGTGCCCGCCCACTTTTTCAGCAGCCTTGGTTCTGGAAGGGGGATGTAGTTTTTCACCAGGAATTCAGCTGTTAAACATCATTATTTAAAAACAGTTTGAAATCATGCAGACTAACAGCTTCAACAAAAGCATATAACATCAATAAACAACCATGTAGCTCACAGAAGGTCTGCCTTTAAAGGTTTTGAAGTTACTGTTAAAAATCAATTCCCCTATGGAGAAAATGAATGGGCTTTTTACTTCCGGAACCCAACTGTCACTGTTAAAACATGAAAAAATGAAGCTGAAGGCTGATTGCGGTAAACATTTAAGTGTTAAATGTGAAGCATGTCACTTTTTCAATGTTAAAATGAAGGACACTCACTGAATGACAAAAGGATGAGCACAGAGGCCAGCAAGTGCCATTGCCTGTCATCCTACCCTGTCCCATGGGAGATAAATTCTTATAATTCCAGCTTTCTGTAATTATAAGTAATTAGTAGCACAAGAAGTGGTATTTTAATGAGTCATTCTCTACTTATGTCCTCATCTTCGTGTACTTTTTGACCATTTCAAAAGCAGGCAGAGGCTGTACTTGGTTTGGACAAGGATGTTTTATTCATATATTATCTGATTGTTTTGCCTCCACGTAGACAAATGAGCCCAGTGTTTTGTTTTGTTTTCTCCATAAGGCTGACTTCCTCTGACATTAGACTGATGGCTGTACATTGTAATGGTTAAGACGGAATGAGTTTGCAATCCTGATGCTTGTAGCTGACATTTCATCTTGCAACAATGTTGTCATTAACTCATAATTCATACACAAACTTTAATTAAACACACATTTCCTGGCTGCCGTGGTGTTCAGAAGGGAGGAAGTCTCCAGCGTAGCATGTGGCATCTCTAAATGCCCTTTAGACCTGAAATCTCAGCACAAATATCTCTCCTCTGTCTTTGGAGTGGAAATGAGATGCTGGCTTGGTCATTAGTGGATGATAATGAGGTAAGAGAGACAAACAACCCTAAGCCCTGTTGGTTTTGTTAATATTAATAATTAATTTCTGATTAAGTAGCTAATTGTGGTGGAAAGGTCAATGAGAGATGCTTTCATTCCCATAGTGCCATGACCAGTGAGTGCTAAGATAGGGATGCTGTCCTCCCTGCAGGCTTTGGCTGGCATCTGTCACATTGCACTACTAACACATGACATGTGGATGACGCTGGCTGAGAAACTGGATAATCATCGTGGAGACACGTAAATTCCAGAGAGAGCATGCACAAATTGAAGCAGCCATGCAAAGACATATGGTACACTGCATAAATCAATGTATATGCAAGGATAAACTCATGCACAGCTACACACCTAAATCATGCTCTTTCTTTTTATTATAACCATGCTCTTAAAGTGACCTTCAGAATTTGTTAATTTTCTCATGATCCATAATGCTCCTCCATTATGTTCCTGCTGTGCTTAAAGGGTCATGAAACCCCAGACTACTTTTTCTGAGATTTTCATCTTCCAGGTTTAAAATCTACATCGTGTTGACATCACAATTTGTGATGCGGCAATGGACTAT